AACAAGAAGCTAAAACAGACCTTTCTTTCAGTTTTTTGGCAGCTGAGGTGCTGGCTGAAAGGACAGAAACCCTCAACCCCATAGATTGCTGAGAGGAACATTGTGTGTCTTCCAGCAGAAAATGAACTGTTGGAGTCTGCAGTATGTTATATTTCCTACTGGCTTTCCACAGCGTCTGTATTTGAGTAATCTCCAAAGGCACACCTAGAAATGTCTTTTACCTATACTTATTATAAAAAGTATATGTATGTGTGTGGTTGCATGTTTATGTGTGTATCAAAATATAAGAAACCCTGCAAGGACATATCTGTAATCAGTATGTTCACACAAACTTCCTAATTATGCAAAATAAGGTTAGAAAATTTTCAGAATTATAAAGTCCCATGTATTTCACTTACATATTCTATGATATCATCTTCCAATGGGAGAATTTATCTTCTGCATTTTTACATTAATGGAGCTGACAGCTTATCTCTGGAAATTATTGCTATTTTCCCTTGTAATTTGTACCACACATGTATAGAATATTGTGTTTAGATTTCATTGTTTGAACCTCCAATCTTTTTGATGATAAGGACATTTAATTCTAAATCAATAATAGGGATATAATTTTGGGATAGGTTTTATTCAACCATAAATTCTAATTTCAGGTTTAGTAGAAAGCAAACATTAATTATTGTTAGAAAAAGATGGACACAAGAAAACTCAATATTGATAAATATATTTAGAGTAAATTTTGTATGCGTGTAACATAAATAGTACTGAGGAATATTCGATTAAATACAAGTAAGTGAATAGCTTAGAAAAAAATCATTTCTTCCATAAAGATAAAGAAGGAAACTCTAATCATGATCTGTTTTGAACACTGTTATATTTTCATATTCATTTATGAAGGTAATTTTTTCCAGTTTTTGAATTAAGGAAGACCTTTTCTGAAGTTGAGATATGATGTCAAATAATTTTGTTTTCTTCTAAACCACCTGTGAGTTCCTGAATTTCCATTCATCTCCTCCTGTTCCAGTCTTAAAATTTCTTTTAGATTTCAGATAAGAGGACTCAAGTCTTCCCTATCTTAAAAAATGCTCAACAAAAACATAGTATAGAAATTGTGGAGCATAAGTCAATAAACCTTCCTGCAATCATTAGAATGGCATCTTTGAAATATATGTATTAATGATAAGAAATGTCTTATTTATTTATTTAATTTTATTTTTTTCCCTTTTTTTGTCTTTTATCATGTCTGGCAACGGACCGCAACCCTCAGTGTCGCGCCCGTACCGGACTGGGACCGGCAACGGGATCGCAACCCTCGGTGCTGCGCCCGCCCCTCGCTCAGCCAGTGAGTGGGAACCGGTTTGTATTTGGGATCTGAACCCTCGGTGGGAGCAGTGCTGCGCTCTGAAGCGGCGCACTGTAGCAGTGCGCCACCAGGCCAGCCCAATAAGAAATGTCTTAAAGATCTGTTTTATTATATTCTTGTTGTAAATGATGAAATGAGAGAAAGTGTATTGCATTTCACTGATAGGAAGTTCTATTATTAGGATGAAATATATAACCTTGTTCAACAACTACATTCTACATGATTGTATTAATTTTGTTGCTATGAAATTATCTAAATCTTAAGAAATTATTATCTAAATCTTTAGAAAAATTGTCTCCACAGTTGATTGAATTATTTTTATTTATCATCTATGTCCCCCAACACTATGAAAACAACATAAAAGCAGACATGTCTGTCTGCTCAACTGCTGATTCCCAGCACCTAAAAGCCAGCACACAGAATATTTGGTGAAAGTGATATTTTAGTGGACACATGAATGGATGGATGAATAAATAAATGAGCTATACTAGGGCTGGTAAACCAATGTAAATGTAACCCATCACTAATCTGCAGGTTGCACGAATTTCCCAGTCCTGGTTTCATGTTGAAGTTATAGGCTTATTCAAGTAGAAGCATTTCTCAGATCAAAATTTTAGCTTTTCCGCAGTTCCAGGGAAAATATTACTAGAATATAGCCTTGAGGCAGATGTATCAGGTGTGTAGAGTGGAGACAAGGTGGAATGTCTGAATCAAATGGCACATATTACGGTTGTTCTTAAAAATCATATAGAAGATTTTGGTGTATTTGCACACATTTTTTTCTATTGGGAATGATTTATTTTTATTGTGATATCATCTAGCTTGCTATTGCACACAGAAAAATATCCTTTCATTTTTAACTTGAGTAATGACTGCCTCATTCAAATGTTATTTTTACATAGTATTTTTTCCAAATGAACTTTAAAAAAATCACCATATTATAAATGCACAGAAAGTGAGAGAGTAGTAATTGTACAGCTCAATGAATATCTTAGCCTAGGGCTTCTAAAGCCAGAGCCAATGTCAGGGATTAAAGTGACAACATTTTTTTGGAAGGCAAGTTCAGCAACAGGGAGGACATGTGGAAATTGAGGCAAGAGAGGTGGAACAGT